TTATCGCCACAAGGTAATTCCGAATATGGGCTCTTACCCATGTCTAGTCAGACGCGCTTCAAGTCTTCCTCTAACAGTGTTCAAAGCGCCTCTTCTGGCCCCTCATCTCCTGGAGCTGCTCAGTACACCAAGGGGCGCCCTGCGATTGGTGCACAGGAGAGGCCAAAGCCCCAGCCACCCACCCATTCCAGGCAACAACCAGACTCTCAGCCAAGCTGCCCACCAGGTCATCAGGGAAAACCCCAAGCTCTCTCTGGAACTCTGCTGGTCCATCAATCGCCTGGAGCGGGCCGATCAAGCGGGCCCTGTCTCCCTGCAGAGAGGGGAGACACCAATGAGCAAAAAGCAACAGTGATCTGTCCACAACAATGGACTGATGTTAATGTCCTCCACTGCTAAATCCCATTTCAATCACCCCAAGACAAAAAAACAGCGCTAACATGCAGCCTCCAGTGTGCATTGGGCCATCAATTACTTGGGACCGGTCCGTGGTTGCCATGGAGGCCACAAACTCCTAAGCCACCCCAGGCTCAACATTGCTGGGTGGCAAATTGAGATTGTTGTGTTGTCAGCTAGATTAGATTTTGCAGGACAGATACTGAAGCTGGAAGACACCAAAGGAGGTGCCAGGACTGAAATAAACAGGATCGTATTTATTAAAGTTGTCCCCATTAATTACTTAAATCGCCAGGGGTCCTTTCCCAATCTGCTGCAGTGAGCCACGAGGATAGTCTCCAGAATTTGACTCACAAAGGGCTTGCTTTTGTTGGGCAAGTTTTATTGCTCTTCAACCTCTTTCTCCCCCTCCACCCTAGAATTGCTTAGTTTAGGCATCAGAAGGTTACATATTAATGAGAATTACAGCAAAAGAGAGAAATAATTATCTAATTAGGGCTAGGGCAGAAAATGTGTTGTCTCGCATCTCAGGAGAGTAAACAGGCTTGTCCAAGCAGCCTCTGTTCCAGGTTTTAATTGAAAAATGTGGGTCAGTCAAAGGACAACAGGTCTGCCAAGATGCCTGCTGGGAACACCCTTTGCTTTCACATCAGAAAGACACCAGCCTTCTGTTGAAGCCTCTGTCCCCAAGAAGGACCACTGGGTCCTTGCTTACTGGAGGCAGCAGTGGCTTCCTGGGGATGCCTCAAGCTGGAGGAGGGCATCTTCTGCCAGACCTCCCAGGATGCAGCCTAACATGACGAAGGACCGGTTTGCGGGCAGAGCCCTCACTCCCATCTGGGCAATGGGGCCGTGCCATCTTGTATCCTTTCCTCGAGCCGATGGGGGAACCTGTCGAAGAGGTAGAGAGGAATTCCAGGGAAACCAGGGATTCATCTGAGAGCTTTCAAAAAGAAGGGGACCGTGTCAGGGTTGGAAACCATTCCCTCCACACCACAAAAGCTGGAACTCTGCTGCAGAAGGTGAAAAGGCTTGAGAACACGCCTTTCTACACCCCTGCAGTCAGGAGCAAGAGGCCCTGGAGGAAGCAGACTGTCCACCCAAGGGCCTCGGGCCTCGAAGAATCCGCTCCTCGGGCTCACAGCGCCGAGCACGTCACTGCAGAGGTTTGCTTTCTTGCACCACAGATGACTCATGGAAGGGCTGCAGAAAAGGAGATGAGGCCTGCTCGTCTCACAAGGACCAGGGACTTCAAACCGCATCAAGAAGGCTGTGGATGATTCCTCTGGGGATGGGAGGCCAAAGCCCAGAGCTTGCCCCCAGTGAAATGCTGGGATCACAGGCCTGCAACCACTGGTCATGATACCCGGCATTCCACTGGGCTATGGCATCAACAAGTCCCTGCCCTGTGCCTGAGGCAATGCAGTTCCATATGCCCACAGAGCATCTGCTGATGGAGAAGCAGGTGCCTTGAAAAGCCACCTTTACCATTTGCACTCCTTGCATGAGCACTACGAGAGAAGCAGGAAATCAGGCCATTGTTTTAAGCTACTCTTTTTTTTAAGTCAGATAACTACTACTAAGAAGTTTATCAGAGTCTACAATGTTTGTAGCTCCAGCAAAATCCACGGCGCTCACTGAGGTATGGAAGCAGAGGCAGGACAGCTGCAGTCAGTATGCTACGCTTACATCCTGCACTGCAGCAAGAGGTTGAATCTGGTGGTCTCTAGAGCACCTGCAATGATGATGCGATGGTTTCCCAAACAAGACAGAGATTTTGGCTACCCTATCTCATAGGCAGACACACTACACACGTACACCAGGCCCAAAAGAGTTCTGTACATTAAACCCAACTTCCCTTTGGACCTATGTCTCCTTTAAGGTATGCACATGTGTGTGTGCCTACTGCTGGACAAACCCAGGCATATGATAAAAAGTCAGTTGCACACAAAATTAAGTTACCCCAAATAATAATAAAAAATGTAGGTCGCACAAAACTGCAGGCTCGCAACGCATGAGGAGTCCTGCACCAGCTCGCCGCCTTGGCTTAACTGCAGCAGTGAGGGCTGCCTGGCACTGCCACGGCAAGGGCTGAGCAGGAGGTCCTGGGCACCTTTTGCCCAGGACAGCAGGCAGGCATCCTTTCCCAGCCTCGCTGCTGTAGCCCACCTGCTCCGGATCAGGCCCAGCTAGAGACATGCGCCTCCCTCCAAAGGAGGATGAATGGGTATCTGTGGAGTCTGGGGCCACACGAGGCCCATGATCGTGGTTAGCTATAAAATTTTCAGTTTTTAAATTACTAATAACTAAAGTTTAAGTAAGTTCAGAATACAGTCGGAAAAGGAAGGAAGAATGGGGGGGGGGAGAAAGAGAGGGGTTATCTAAATGCTTTTTGTATAATGCTTTTCTTTTTTTTCTTTTAATTTTTCTTTCATTACAATATCAATTTTAAATGTTTATAAAATGTTGATTATGCTTTTTGTATAATGCTTTTCTTTTTTTTCTTTTAATTTTTCTTTCATTACAATATCAATTTTAAATGTTTATAAAATGTTGATTATGCTTTTTGTATAATGCTTTTCTTTTTTTTCTTTTAATTTTTCTTTCATTACAATATCAATTTTAAATGTTTATAAAATGTTGATTGCAATTATCAGTTATCAGTGACTAGCAAATTTATATTATAATCCGGAAGCGTGTATGTGTAGAGCCAGTCTGGTCTAGCGCTTAAGGCAGGGGTTCTCAAAGTACGGCCCGCGGGCCGGATATGGCCCGCCTGCCCGATTGGCCGCCGCTGCTGTCTGTCAGAAGCGGAAGCGTTGGGGCTGTGTCGGGAGCTGCAGGCGATGCAGGAGGAGGGAGATCGCAGAGCCGGACAATTCTACATGACAGGTATGCCGGGTCCGGCAGCTCTCCTCCTCTCCTCAAACTATAGTCCGACCCCCCAACATTCTGATGCCCCCTGCTTAAAAAGTTTGAGGACCCCTGGCTTAAGGCATCAGGCTAGAAACCAGGAGGCTGTGAGCTGTAGTGCAAAACAGCCGGCTGGGTGTCTTTGGGCCCGTTGTTCTCTCTCAGCCAAGGAAGGAGGCATGGCAAGCCAATTCTGAAAATGTTGCCAAGAAAATGACAAGGGGCAGTGCTAGGAGTCAAAAATGACTCCAAGGCACAACTTTTAAGCATGTATGAGACTTGCTGTTATACTTTCTACTTTCTATACTTCAACTATTAAATATAAACATTTTAACGTGTCACTATTACATGTATTCGCAATTTAGTCATATACTCGTATTGTGGCACATAAATTTGTAGCTGCACGAAACATTTTTTTTCTGCAAATGCCATGTCAGAAATTTAGAGGAACGTTGCACTGGACCCATTTCACTGGACTCCTGGATTATGGGCCAGGAGTCTTCCTCCACATAAGAAGCAGAACTTCTCTCCATATTTGGGTGCAGCAGGACTATGCTGGAGGAAGCGAACATGGATGTGTTCTCTCTGTGCCAAAATGCACATGGTGATAGCCAGACAAGAGCAGCATCTGTTGTGAGGCCCCTCACGGGACTTCTGCAACTGTGGTTCCTACATCTGAAATACTTGATGCAACAACTGTTGGTGAATCAAGATAGCCTGCTTTCATTACTTAATTTAGGCCTCCATTTGAAACACTCCAAATACTGTAATTACAATTGTTTCAGTATTTAACCAGGCTAATTAACACAAGATCAGTGTGATCAAGAAAAAGACTACCTCCATAGATATCATTGATTCATCAGGTGATGCCCCGAGCACGCGAGGGGGGAAAGAATGATGGCTTCAAGTACTTGGTCTCCCCCTCCCCCCCATAATGGCCCCTCTTGTAGAGAAAGAAGTGACAAGGAGGGCAGAAAGAGTCAAGTCCTTGTCTGGGGGCTGTTTTGTTCCAATTTTTGCCTCATTCCTGGCACCTGGTGTCTGCCAGACTGACTGATTCAAGACACCCAAAGAGGAAAACCATGGGTTTATCTGTTCATCCACAGCCTGCCTCTCATCCACTGCCATCCATTTCTGGGGAGCAGATGATGGCATGATCTTGCTGTTTCCAGATGTGCAATGGCTTGCATGTGCTCTTTACATCAGAGGCAGGTAACCTACAAGCTGCGTATGTTCTTCACCAGCTGTAGATCACAGGACTAGATGCAAATCAAGCAGCCTTGCCAAGGGAATCTTTCTCTCAGCCAGCCCTTCACCTCAAGGAAACAGCGGGGGCTGACCTGGTTAGTGGAGGAGAGTCCCCATGAAAGCAAGGGGCCTTCCCCTGCCCCCCAGGGTCCTTCTCCCCAGAGCTCTGCAGAAGGGAGGTGCAATAACGCTGAGGTTCCTAGAAAGCAGGGGCTACGCAGGAACCTGCCTTTTGGAAGGGGGCAACCTGGGTGCCTTGAGGACTGCCACTCGGTTTTACAAGCTTCCCCTTGAGCGAGGCCTACGGCTGCAGAATGAGACATTCAGAGGACAAAGGGGACACCTAACTTTTTAGTGGTTCTGCAGTCATGTGAATTGGGGGGGGAGGAGGGAGCAAACAGGCTGACAAGGGAGCAATGGCTTTCACTCTTTTTTTAAATTACCTGAGACAATTGAAGCGAGTCTGAATACATCAGAGAGAGGAGAGGTGATGGGCTCGTAGGGCGAAGCTTCATAAAACTCTTCTCCTGGAGACAGGGAGAGGGAAAATTTAGCATCCTCACCAAGCCAGGCCCCTGGAATAATTTCAAGAGGTGGGAGGGTGGTGGCCTGGGTAGAGATGGGCCCCCGGGTAGCATGGAGAAGCCTGGGGTGACTGGGAGCTGGGCACACCTAGCCTGCTCCTTCCTTTATCTACACCACCACACATGTTGCGTGTACGGGGCACCCCTGGTGCCATGCGGTGAAACTATATTTGTAGCCCCACGAGCCTTAGAGCCCCAGGGCTTGCCTGGCTGGCCAACTGGGCATCCGAACTCTGAAAACGGGCATCTCCCTACCAGAATGAAGGAGCTCCTCAGGCAGCCCTCCTCTGGACCTTCGGGAGTACAACCCCCATCATCCCCAGCAAGTGTGGTCAGTGGAAAGCATATGATTGTCCTCGGGGAATTCTCCCACGGAGGTGTGGCAGAGAGCCTATGCCAGCCAAAGAGGGAAGCAGGCCATCAGGTCAAGCTGAGGGAGGCCCAACACACCTTCCTCTCCACCATGCCAGATCTAGCCCTGTAAGGCCACTGCAAGGCATTTTGATTTGTAAATCATAGTTCAGGGTTTCAGATGATCTGGGAAACCATCAACTGTGGGAATGTTCAAAGCAGCAAACTACAGCTGAGTGTGATGTGCATCTCAGCCACTGATGTCTTTCTATTACTGCATCTTACTTTACAATGCCTTATCGGTGGGAGGGTTTCTGTCCCAAACAGCTGGTGATAATAAGTAGGCCCAGTGCTTGAGCTTCCCCTCCTCCCTCCCTCGTGTGTCATTCCATTAATGCAGAGCCGCTCTAAACTGAGGCAAAGCCCCCACGATTCCTTCTGGCTTGGGGGGTCTGCATGGCTTGCGTGCCGAGTGACCCATCAGCCCAGCCCCCCCAACACAGCCCCAGCTCTGGGCTCACCCCCTGCCAAGCCAAGGTGGATGCTCCAGTAGATCTGCAGGCACAGCAGCTCCTTCTTCATCTTGCGCTTGCAGCGGCAGCCGTAGAGGGCACTTCCCTGCAGCACCTCCAGCGCCGCCCGACACTCCCTGTTCCCCAGCATGGTGTTGTGGTCACGGCCAGCCAGGCACTGCCGCAAGGTGCGGTAACTTGAGCTGCAGCCCGGCTCGGCGGCACAAAGCTCGTTGGCTCGGGCACAGTCTACCGAGGTCTGCCAACCCTGGAGGTCCAGCGCAGCCGGGGGGGACGGCCCAGCCCAGACCTGGAGCACCCTGTCTGGAAAGAGGAGAGGAGAGGAGAGGAGAGGAGAGGAGAGGAGAGGAGATCAGGGCCTCAGGATCAGCGTGGAGCCCTCAGGGCAGCCCGGCCTCCGGCAGGACAAGCAGCTGCTCCAAGGGGCTCCCCTGGCCAAGGCCCTTTCCCCCTCCCCCACACGTTTGCTCCCCTCCAGCATCAAAGCCCCCTCCCCACGCACCTAATCTGGTCCATGGACCTTTCTTGGCCAAATGTGGGTGGGGAGGAGGACTCCTGTGGGCCCCTCTCCATCCTTCCACCAAGTTCAGTTAAACTGCTAAAACTTCTCAGGCTCTTGTTTTGGCCCAGAAGCTCCCTAAGAAGCCGAAGGGCCTCCACCCAGAAGAGGGGCAAACACTCCACCGTCCCTCCAGCCCTGGGAAACTCAGCCTGGTGGTCTCCACTTTCCAGCCCCCCTTGGCCCGCGTTCCCAGGCTGTGGCTGCCTGGCATTTTCCCACAGATGAGCCCAAGGGAAACCATGATGCCATTCTGCAGAAGCAGCGTTAAGCCACCCCACAATGAGCACCTCCCTCACTGTGAACCAAAAGGATACGGGAGAATCAGGCAGCCAATCTGAGAGAGAGAGGGAGAGAGAGAGAGACGCAGCCGAGCCTGGACACACATGGCGCGCCAGCTGAGCTCCACCACCATCCGTCTGCAACACGACCTCTGAGAGGCCAGGCTTGGAGGCTAGCGAGGAAGGCAGGAGCTGCACTGAACCGATCTTTCTTTCCTCAGGTCAGAGCTTTCCTCGGGGCTTTCCGTGCCCCTTTCCCTACATGGCCCGGAAGCCACAGGAGCCTGAACCCGGGGAAGGGCAGGAAGTCCCCCCTTCCTTCTCACCCTTGCCAGATGTCCTTGGTGTCCTGGGAGCTTTGCCTCCCCGGCCTGGCGTGGGGAGGAAGGCATCCTACATGCGCTGGGCGCTGGGGGCAGGGGCCGGGGGGCTGCCCCCAGCTGCAGGCATCCTCAACTGCCCTGGCAGACCCAGCAGCAGCAGCCCCCCAGCGCTGGGGCAGGAGATGCCTTCTGGACTGCTGACAACTCCAGTTGAAGGGAGACTCTCCTGGGGGAGGTCTGCAAAGCAAGAACCCCCAAGGGAAATGCAGAGGGGAGGCAGACAAGCCCGTCAGGGCTGCCCATCACTCCATGGGCCGATCTGTTTCCGTCCCCCTGCGCTGCTCATGGAGGATGCGGGGGCCGAGTTCCTTCTGAAATCAGTCCCCTCCTTTGAACAGGGACATTCTGCCCCCCCCCAGCAGGTGCCCCAGACACTCTGCAGGCATGAAGGCCAAGAGTCGACTTTCCACCCCCTCTTCCTTGAGCAAGAGGCAGAAAGCAATCCTCTCGGAGCCAGAGTAGCCAGCCCCCTCAGAGACCGCAAAAGGAAGGGTTGGGGAAGGACCTAAAGACCCATCGCATCCTTTGGGGCGGGTGGCGAACCCACGCTCCACTACGGAAACCGGTTGCAGATAAGGCCATGCTCTTCGGCCTCATGTTCGGTCACCAAAGCAGCCCCGCTCAGTTGCGACAGGTGGGCCGGAAGAAGGCCCTCCTCTTCTCCAGCCCCTTTGCAGGCTACGAGGAAGGAGAGTCCCCTCGTCCCCCTGCTGGGGCTCCCAGAAAGATGCTCCCACCTCAGGTCTTTCCTAGGCCAGGCTGGCCGAGACCGGCCTCCTCTGAGGAAGCATCTGCTTCGCATCAGGACAGGGAAGGGGGAGAGTCTGCACGTGCTTCCCAAACCGCAGGCGCGGGGCAGAAATCCAGCAGGATCAGCCATCCAGGGCCGTTGGAGTATTTTTCCCTCTTCTTCTGCCCGCTGAAAAACAAGCTGTGGTTCTGCAGTGCCTTGCCTCAGCCACTCCATCTGGATCTCCCGATTTACAGAAGGTCACAGGTCTGGAAGGTGGGCCAGCTCTAGCCAAGGTGGGCCAGCGGCAAGCACAAGGCCCAGTTCCAAGGGACCCTTCTGCCCTCCAGCCCAAAAGCTTCTGGCCCGTGAATTGCAGCAACTCACAGCTCTACCGCAGTGGAGTTTTTTCTGGCTATCCTGCGAAGTCTGCAGCCCCCCGTCCTACACGGTGCTAGAAAATCCCAGTGTACATTGTGGGGAGAAGCCTTTGCCTGGCAAGGACACAGACCCACAGGCGTTTAGTTCCCTCCAGCAGGAGCAACAGTGGCCTAAGAAAAGTGGAGAGAAACCAGGTCATCTTTTGAAAAGGGCCTGGGATGAGACAGCCTCAGCGGACAGAGGGAGGACTTCTAACTCAGCCCTCCAAGAGCCTGGCCCTCTGCAGGCACCAGGAAACAGTGAAAGCGGAAGGGAGAAGTGGCACACTGGTGTTTTCTTGGGAGGTGGAGAGTTTTAGACATGTAGTTCCTCTGCCCATAACATCTAGGCCAGATCTAATTCTCCGGCAAAGCCCTCATGTATTTACTTATTTATTTAAAATATTTATATGACCGCCCACCTCAAGAATCACAACTCTAGGCAGCTCACAACAGCAATAAAAACCAAAATACCCCAAACCTGGCACCTTCTCTGATGCTAAAGCCACAAGATCTGGTGTTTTACAAACAGTGGTTCCCAAAGTTGCACACGAAGCAGTCCTGGCTGAAGCCAAAAGCCAGGAACCGGCCAGGGCCAACCCTGAAGTCCACATCAGAGGCCAGAGCAGAAACTGGGACCACAATCACGCCTAGCCAAGGGGCGCTCTTAACTCCCTTCCAAGGGGAGCAAGAGGAAGCCAGCCAGCCTGCAAAGCCATGGGTTTTTAAGAATGCTTCCTGGGAACAGTCTTCACCAGCGCCACTAGCACGGGGGCTGACTCCAGCGCAGAAGTACGTCAAGCACTCAGTGGAACAGCTCTGGCCAATGCTGCTAAAAGAGTTCTGCACTGATGCTCCACTGAAACCATGGATCCCTCTGAAAAGTCCCCAACTGCATCAGCATTATATAGAAGCACAGAATGGATCTTCGGGTCCCCATCTTCGCCCAGAGCAGGAATCCGTTACCAATGGCCATCCAACTTCTCTTTAAATATGTCCAGCAAAGGAGAGCCCACCGCCAACTCCCAATGAAGGTCCTACTTTTAGGATATGTTTCCTGAGGTCCGGCAGAAATCTATTCCTCAAAATTTAAACCCCATGTTTTCTCTTCTAGAATGAATTTGAACAATTCTGCCTTGTTTTCTACAGGACAGCCTTTCAGATACTTGAACAGAGTTATTGCATCTTCTCTTCTCCAGACTAAGCATTTCCAATGCCTCCAACTGTTCCTCTTCAGTTTTTCCTTTCAGGCCTTTATCATTCTGGTTCCTCCCCTTCAGACACACTCCAGTCTGTCAATGTTCTTTTTAAAATATGGGGCCCAGAACTGGATGCAGCAGCCCAGGGTGGGTCTGACCAGTGCAAAACAGAGAGGAACAGCCATCCAGGGAAGGGGCATTGCTCAGTAGCCATTTCCGATCTTTTTCACCCCACAACATCCATAAAAAATTGGTCACCTCGCTGCTGTCCAACCTTTCAACCAGGCGGGCTCCCCTCCCTCGGGCTCAGTGATCCACAGGCCAAAGCAGCTGAGTGCAGGGGAATCCTGTCCCACATGCAACCTCCCTTCCTGAAGTGGAGCAGGGCAGAAAGCACAGAAGCCGGAACGTGGGTGCCGTGTGGCATAAGGGAGGGCTTTTCTGTCCTTCTGCTACTGTCCCAGTCCTCAGGGGCATGGAGGTGGCTCGGATCTGGACAAAGGATCAGCATGGGCTGCAGCGGAACGCAGGGGAGGCAGCCAGTCCTCAAGCCTGGGCAAGAAGGGAGCCAGGGGCAGCTGCCGACTGTCTGGCCAGCACTGAATCCCAGGCTGACCTCAGGGTGGAAAAGGCTCCTGTCCAGCCGAGGGATGGAGACACTTCTCCTGCATCAGGACCAGTCCGGATCTAGCCACGAGGCCCACAGGCGAGGATTGAGGCGGTTAATGTCCGTACAACTGTAAGTTTTCTATCCAAAAGGGTCCGACCGTTTCCAGACAAGTGACCCCTCCTGTTTTAGTTCCATAGTTGCCAAAAGACACTTTTGTCATTTTTTTGTCAGTTTTGTTTGTTATTTTATATCTAAGTGCTAGACACAAAGCCGTGCTCCCACCACTACAGACTCCCAAAAATGCCATTTTTAACGTTACAGGGCTCATAGCTGCCCAAGAAAGTCCAGCAGGTCTCAACGCAGCACTTAATCCCGGTCAAGGTCCTCCTCGTGTTTCCCCTCTGATCGCAGCATCCTCCCTGAGCAAACGCCAGTGGGAATCTCTCTGGCTGCCAGCACCAACCGCTCCAGGGCCTGGATCCATCTCCCTCCCTGAAGCGAAGGGCCGCTCTGACTTGACACCCAGCGCCCTCCACTGGGGGCGGGAGCTCTTTGTGCTGGGCAGAGAACCTTGCCAAGCCCAACAACTACCACGCAGCCAAAG